CCAGGCGCCGCTCCCGCCGCGGGTTCCACCGCGGGCCGCCTCCGGTAGCGGGTGCCGGGGGAGCTCTGGGCGAAACACCGCTCGCCTGGCCCCGCTCGCTGAGCCCGCCGCCGCCGCGAGGCGCCCGCTGCCGGGCCTAGGCGGGCAGAGGCGCGTGCGGATGGAGAGATGCGCTGCAACGCTCCTGCTGCGCTGTGCTGGAGAGATACAGCGCTGCGGCTGTGCCCTTGGGTTCAAGCCCTTGGCAAAGCACTAAAAAAAGTAAGTCACCTCTTCACCCCTTTCACTCGAGGTGTCTTGCTCCAAGACGGCCCGCTACCTCTGGAAGCTCTCGAGCTCTTCACCACGTATCTTAAGGACAGCAAATTCAATAAATGCCCCAAAGCAAATCAGCCACGCCATGTTACCCCCCTGTGGCAAGACACCACAGTTCTTACACTGACACATCCACATATGAGTATGTGTTTGGAGGAAAGGCCAGTGACATTATAACCAGCTGAGATTAGAGATGACTCAAAGACAAGGCATGGTCAAACCAGGGCTTGCTGGTATCAGGAAAGCAAAATCTACACACGTGTTTTTGCCTTTTCCTGTTCCTTCAAGATGTCCAAGCCATCTCCTCCCCTCCCTAGGCCCAGTGGCTTTTCATTTCCCACTCATGAGTCCCTGGCCACAATGAGTCTCCCAGTCGCCCATCATTGGCCTGTTTTCCCTCCGTGTGGCTTTTTATTCCTTTACCCTCTACTTTGTTTTTAAACTTCCACCCTCTCTGCAAGGCTCTGCTATCCCCTTTCCACCCCACACTTGTCAGCTGGCTCTGGTTCTCTCTTGGCCACCTCACCTACCCTCACGTTACCCCCGTGTTACGACACAGCCCCGGACGCGCCACGTGTGCCCGTCCCTCGTGCAGCACCCCCTGCGCCCCTCATCTCAGCTGGGATCTCAGCAGTGAACCCCCCATCCCTTGAGCCCCCATCCCTTTTCCCTTAGCAGATTGCTTTACTATCCTTACAGGAACAACCTAATGGGTTTATACCCAGCAACCACCCAAGGGCTTGGAGGACACTGCAGATGAAATGAGCTGCCCGCACAGAGATGGCTCCTGCAATTGAAGCCCAGGGGCTGGAGGGGGAAGCAAATGCAGAGGAAGCAGAAAAAAAAAATCTCATATAAAGATTCATTAAAGCCCTTGGACACCAAGCCAAGTCTCCAACTCATTACATTTTGATAACATCTTGCAGTTAAGATGGCAGAGAACCAGAGAACACCACTTTAGCCTGCAAAAACACCAGGCTGCTTTCAGTTGGGCGCCTGCGGTTATGGGTGGCACGGACACGAAGGGGCAGACTTCTTTGTTTTGCTTCGTTTTTGCACACTGGAGCCAGGCGGAGCTGCGCAAGGTGCCGCGGCCGCTTCACCGCCCCGCTGAGAGCCCGAGGGGCCCGGCAGGAAACGCGACCGGAGCAGGCGGGCCCCGCGCCTCCCG